CGGGGGCTAGCCTCCCAGGCCAGGAGCTCAGGGGCTGGGCACGAGGGTCCCACGGGCCAGATAAGGCCTGTGGGCCAGTTTGCCCACCTCTGGTCTAACACTTAATGTATTGGTATTGCAATAATGCCAAGGAGCCCCAGTCATGGACCTGTACCCTGTACAAACCACAGGGCAAAAAGATGGACCCTGCCTCTGTGACTTGGTTTCACTAACTGAATTTTTAAGGCCATAACACTTACTTGTCACAGATGGATATTGGGAAGCTTGCTTTGTGAATGCCTGCAAAGGATTCTGACATCCACAGATGGAAGGTTGTACCGATGGGCTCACAGTCCTGTTTATTAGGTGGCTATCATGTGATTGCTGGCAATCCGATCATTTTCTCCTTCTAAATAGTTCTGTCTAGTCCAGATTATCACTGCTGAGCGCTGAACAACTCTGCCTGTCTGCAAGCAGATACAGCGTGAGTAGCAACAGCAGCTGCCCAAGCTTTCTCCACACTGCCATGCTATTAGATCCTGACCTGGAGAGAGCGCCGCTGGAGCTGAAAGAGGAGCTCTCTCTTCATGGCCCATTTGACCCTTGGCCTATCTGCTGAAGTTGTCAGCAGAAGGGCCAATTACACCTGCCCTTTTCCCTTCTTTTAAAAATAACCTTGAAAATGATGAAATCTAGATGTGTGCAGCAATTATGTGTGGGGTTCCAGATCTTGCACCTGTAACATCATATCTAACAGGAGCCAATTAACTCCCTCCTCTGACCGCTCTGCAGCGCATGCAAATTACATTACAGAGGATGATCCCATAACTATTTTCCGGTCAAGCCACTGCGCTGGCAAATCTTTATTTCTCTAACTCTTGTTGCTACAAGACTCCCCTCTTCTTGGGATCCTTCCTGTTATTTTTCCACCTTCCTGTGGCAGGATGCAACGTTCATTACAATAATACATCAAACTTTGAGTGGAAAACTGTGCTTTAGCGTTGTCCCAAAGATTCCCAGTTTCATTCTGGTTAGCTGATTTGCAGCTGTGACCAACACACTCCTCCTCCTCTCCTTACCCCACCAGGTACTACAGTGTAATAATGTGGCTAACAAACCTAGCAGTTCTATGTACACACTAGTAATTAGCTGGTAGGATTTTTCTGCAAGATCCATTGATGTGCAGAAGATGGAGCATGTAGTTTTTAATCTGCCCCAACTGTCTCCGGCCATCATGTATTCAAACCTTAACATAATTAGCTGTTTAAATAAAAGGATATGAAATAGTCTTACATGACAAGCTGCTGTCTGCTAAGAATAGCCTATGCATGCGTTCTGTCTCTCACTGCAACCTTCTCTTACAGAGACACCGTAGAAAAACAACAAGGAGTCTGGTGGCACCTTAAAGACTAACAGATTTATTTGGGCATAAGCTTTCGTGAGTAAAAACCTCACTTCTTCGGATGCACCGTAGAATACCCTCCTGCATCTGCAGCTCATATTGATAGAAATGGGACTCCTCTGCATAAACCCTTCGGGACAGGAAAATTAGCTAGGTCATGTTCTCATATTTATCATCATGTGATGTAGAGAGAAGCTGAATTATAAGTGCTAAGAAAGAGAGATCAGCAATATGTAAAAATATCACTGTTCTCTTTTTATAGTCC